AAGCTTTTGTACCTTCCACCTATCAGGGAACTGACCCTCGTCCAAACATTTCTGCAGCACCATCCTGAACATGTCCGGGAACGTCTGGATCGTCGCCTTCAACGCCACGTTGGGAATTCCATCCGGGCCGGGAGCTTTATTAGCTTTCAACCCTTTCGCTGCTGCTATGAGTTCCTCGTTGGAGACTTGTTCAACGTTGTCTTCATCTACCTCGCCATATGGTGTAGGTGGCCAGTTCGTTGGGTCATGCTGTGGGAAAAGTCTCTCCACGATGGGGCTTATTACGGATGTCACTTCACGGTGAAAACTTGCCACTTGTCGTCACGGTGAAGTGATTCCCATTTTATTTGTACAGCATACATGGCTCTTATTCCGAATATCACTTCCTCTCCCTAATAAAGATAAATAATAATAATAATAATATCACTTCCTTTTCACCGTGTAGTGACACCCGTAATAAGGTCCGATGACTTTCAGCTTGTTGGGGCACATTTCAACCGGCATTGTTGGACATCTGATCTTCGCCATCGCGACTCGGTATGCGTTGCCCCAGGGGTTGGCATCGGCGTTGCAGCACAGCTCCTTGAAACTATTTGACTTGCTCAGCTTTATCTTTCGTTTCATTGCAGCCCTGGCCTCTCGTAACACCACCCTGCGTTCCTCTCTGTCTGCTTCTGTTCTTGCTCTCTGAGCACCCCTTCTGGCTAGAAGACAAGTAGCACGGAGGGTGCTAATTTCCTCGTTCCACCAGTAAGCTGGACGCCGCCTGTTCGTTGGCTCCAGTTTTCTCGGCATAGTTGTGTCACATGTCCTTGCTAATGATTCGATCAACTCGTTCGCGCTTAGGCCCGGGACGCTACTGTCTACCCTTAGAGCTTAGATGAAGAGATCCTTATTGAATGCCTTCGTCTTCCACTTCCGCTCGCTTACTTTCGCCCTCCGCTTTTTCACCAGTGTCCGTTCGCCGATACTGTATCGGTACGCCTGATGGTCACTATGGGTGTACTCTTCGCATACTCTCCAGTTCATATTTGCCATTAGCGACGTAGTGCAGAAAGTGACGTCGATAATGGATTCCCTACCATCTTTGCGGAAGATGCTGATGGTTCCTAAGTTGGCCAGACTGACGTTCAACTTTGCCAGAGCTTCCAGCAGGCTATACCCTCTTGCGTTGGTACATCTGCTCTGCTCAAGCATTGAAATCTCCTGCGATGACGACTGGTCTCCGTCCAATGAGCTCTCCGGTGAGCCCATCTAGCATCTGGTGAAACTGCTCAATTGTCCATCTCGGGGGTGCGTAGCAACTACATACATAGATTCCATTGATTTTGACGATCACGAAACCTTCGTATAAGCTTGCCACCACTTGTTGAATGGGATATCTGCCCATGACTTGTATGGCCGCCATTCCTGCTATATCCGCCACCCAGTTAGCATTATCGAGAGGGACTCGATATGGCTCTGCAATGATTGCAAAGTGTGTGTGTGTGTGTGTGTGTGTGTGTGTGTGTGTGTGTGTGTGTGTGTGTGTGTGTGTGTGTGTGTGTGTGTGTGTGCGCGTGTGCGTGTGCGTGTGTGTGTGTCTGTGTGTGTGTATGTGTGTGTGTGTGGGTGTGTGTGTTTGTGTGTGTGTCAGTGTGTGTGTGTGCGTGTGAGTGTGTGTGTGTGTGTGTATCGTGACGATAAGTGACAAGTGTTCACCGTGAAGTGACATCCGTAATAAGCCCCATGCTTCGGGTGCGTATCGCTTGCCACAATCCTTGATGAGCCATATGGAAATTTTTGGTCCCGTTTGAACATTAGGTAACGTTACGGTGACTAGGTTGATAACGTCCCAATTAATCACAATGTGGAAAAGGCCCCGATGCACTGAAGGTCCTTCAGACACGTTGAGTTTCGCTCGAGGTGGACCAAATACAGCTGGTAACGGTACTTACGGGAGGTGTTGTGCCGATTCCTTTTGAAGACTCGGTTCGGCTTTAGAGTCCACGGGGGACTGTTGAGGATCATCCTAAGGATCTCATTCTGGATCCTTTGGAGTTTAGGGTGATGGCACTTACCGTGTGATTGCCGTACAAATCAAATGAGAATCACTTCACCGTGACGACAAGTGACAAGTTTTCACCGTGAAGTGACATCCGTAATAAGCCCCGGCGTCTTTTTCGCTCATCAAGCAACCAGATTTAAATAAAATGCTCCATTTTCAAAATAAAAGTATTTTGAGATTGCACTCGTATACCTCCCGTGGAAAATTTTGAAATCATCATCACTTTCATAGTTTTCTATTCTCCACGAGTGCCCACTTTGATTTGCCAATTTCGTCTGACCAGAGTACACTGAAAATAACTTTGTTGTCAAAATTACCATATTAGAGGTTTGAATTGACTATCTAGCATCAACGATTTTGAACTGAAAATACTGCACATTCATGATAACCATGATTGTAGTATTTTCTACTGCAACAATAATCGTTTGGTTAATAGTAATTTTAACTTTATTGTTGTAAATAAAACTATGTTATATACCATATGTATTGTTATATTAACTACATTTTCACGGTTATTATAACAACATATCTTTTAAATCTACTATGAGAAATTTACCATGGCATAGTAAGTTGTACCACTTTTAGTATTACTTTTCGAGAATAATTTCAAATGATGAAAATGTTTTTTTGTAGAAGTATTGCCTTTTATTATTTTTTTTCTCACTTTTTAAGTTAAGCTAAATACAAATGCTCATACAAAGTACTTCTTCAACCTTATAAACTTATTTTCGCCTACCGTAGAAAGGTGAATTGCTGGACCATCCAAATTATCAGCGTTAATTAGTACAAATTTTTCTTTGGAATTGCCAACTACAAATGCAGCAAAGTGGTTCGAGTATTCCACAACTTCCCATTCTTGGCAAACAATGAACAGTTCTTCGTTACTTATCAATAAATCTTGAATCTCATACAACTCCAAATGTTACATGTTGATTGAAGATCGTGTCACAAAGTAACCTTTTTTGTAATCTACGCGTCTGTATTGGACTCTACTGACTGCTCTAAAAGATAATGTTAGTTGTGTACTATTAACGTCTAACAATGGAAAGTAAGACATATCGATGAGTTTAATGTTAACTGGATTCTTGAAATCAAGTTTATGTTCAAAAAAATAAGATCGGTTTAAATTTTCGTAGAAGATAAGTTTTGCTTTTGTACAGAGAGTTAAGCAGATATTTTTTCGCGAAGTGATATTTCTACAGTACTGTTTAAAAACTTGATGAAATGCTTCAAACCGAAAACTCCAGGTATATCTAGGTGGACCAACTGCATTGATAGTTTCAACATAGTGAAGTAAAATATGATATTTTGGTTTTAGCTTTTCTTTTAACAGTTTTTTGTAGAGTGTATGATGAAGTACTGTTTGCTCTTCTAATGTTTTCAATAATTCATTATTAAATGCTGGGAGTAATATTAAATCAGTCAACTCAACTAACGTTAAAACGAAATTCCATGCTTCATTATTTTCTGGAAATAAATCTTCAAACAGTAGCGGAAAATAATGAATGAACAATGAACATTTCCCTGGCAGTCATTTTAAATGACGTGGAGTTTATCTGTTCTCGTGTGATTTTTCGAAACAAATTTCTTTTTTCTGTGACACCGTAATTGAACATTTGGATTCTATAGTTGATAACCTTAAGTGAAATGTTCAAATCTTGAATCATGTATCTGAGAACAAGTGATAAATCATAGCTACAAATTCCATGCGAGTACAAGTCATGCATTGGATCTACTACTGAATGATCAGCAACGTGATAACACTGTAATCTGTTGAATGCCGATTCTTCTTTGATGCCTGTCTCCTTAAAATCCTTAGGTAGGTCTAATGTATAGTTCTCTTTAGTTCGACGTAAGTTTGGATCCAAATGCACCAGTTCCTGTGCGTTGTACTTGCTCATTTTACAAAATCGGCAATATAGCAATGCACTGAAAGATGAACTGTAACCCATCAGTGTGTTCATTCCTAGATTATCTCCAAGAATACATGCTAGAACAAAATGTACTTTAATATTTTCTTCTCCGATTTTCAGAACAATTCCATTTTTTTCTATATCGATTAGAATATCAATGAGGTCTTTCAATGCCACTGATGGACCATGTTCTGATACATCGCTAGCCTTAATAAACCCAGCTACAAACATATTCTCTAATCGCCCCAGGTAATGTGACGGAATCGTTGGGAAATGGTAATATATATCCCACACTTTGTGTGTTCCTGAATGTGCTCCTATCGCGTCATTCATTTCAGCTTCATCACTGAACATGAAATAAGGTACAACGTGCATGCTTTTGAAACAGTTTTTCGCTGATTGCCACAATGTACCATGCACAACGTTTGTAATAGCATTAGTTTGCTCTAACTGCTGCATATTAAGAATTGTTTCTTGAAATATTGTCCCTGATTCAAAATATTGCTTGATTTGATGCTTTAATGGCATTAGGCAACCTTTGGAGACAACGTTATTTGTTTCATTTTTAAACTCGACTATTTGCACTTTTTCATCAACACCTAGATTTTTCATCTGAGTTACAAATTTCTGTTCTGTAGATATGAACTTCCAAGGATCAGTAATATCATTTATCAAACGCTGATATTCTCTATTTTCTGGTAAGGACGCTATCTTCATAAAAGCATCACAAATCGGTTTAACTATGTCTTCTGTTATACTTCGCTGGAGATCAATAACATCTTTTCTTGTAAAATTTGTCTTACTATACAGATGTTGCGAAAAATTTAAAAAAGATTCCCTCAAACTGTTTCTTAAATCTAAGATTTCTTCTTCTGTCTTCGGTTTCTCTTTTTTGTCCTCTTTATATTCGTTGTTTCGGTCTGGTGGTTGATGTCCACTTGGCTGGCCGTGCAATGTTGGTATAAACGATGGGTCGGAATAATCGATTTCTGTCGTATTGACGTGAACTATTGATTTGACATTTTTCGTCTTGAAAAGTGCAGCATGCGTTACATGCCTTTTATATCGCCTTATATCTGGAAACGAAATGGTTGGTGTACATGTCGTACACTTATAGGAAAAGGTAGATGGCGTTCCATGGAAGGTAGTTAGGTGATCCAAAAGATTTTGTTGGGTTGAACATGACTCCGTGCACAGAAAGCAGTTCATTGTTCGTGGCTTTCCAGATGTGTAATCAACTGCAATATTTGGGTATTTCTTGATTTGTTGTTGTACTCAATATTATAAAAATATCTGCTGATTAATGCCCAGAACAGCTCACAGCTCTCCGGAAATTGCAGATCTAAGGTGAATTTGAGCTTCACTACAACGTCCAGGCAACGTACAAGGGACGGCAGCTTGTACAGCAGCTTGTTCGTAACAACGTAGAAACACTCAAGATGATTGGTTGTGCCAATTGCATAAACTCTCGGCGAGAATGGTATGCCAGCCGTTTCATATTCCTCTCGAAGTGAGTCCAACGATTCTGCGAAATCCTCTTGTGTTTCACAAACAAAGCAGGTATCAAGCTGAGCCTGCAGTATCGTGGGCAGTTTCTTAGCAGATGTTCTTACAGGCTTGATAACGCCATGAAAAACAGAGCATAGGACAAAATCTCGCGTATCTAGAATAGAAATAGATATATAAGAAAAGCTTTATTGTAGATACGTACGTAAAATTGGTTCATACTAAGAGATTGTATGAATTATTCATTGCATTAATTACCTTGTGTAAAGTTTGCTCCTTCCAATAAGCTCAGCAAATGAAGCGAATAGTGGTCTCTGAGGTTGTTAGACAAAATATATTCATTGAAGTTTGTGCAAAACCATTCCCATTTATTGAATAATTTACACTGTTCGTCCGACTTTTCATAGAGAAAATTGAAGTCTACGTCAACCTGAAAAAAAATGGTATTTCTAATTTATAAGCAACATTGAAGGTAACAAAAACTATTAAATCAAATAACTACCAGCAAGTATCCGTTTTCATCAAGGTATCGAGGCCACTCAGTAAGAACCGTTATTTTATTTATGTCTCTATCTTGGTGAATGCTTCTAAGCCTCAGGAGAATCGAGTCCTTCCACTGTTTCGAAAAAATATCACTTGTGGCAAAATTGTTGCGCAACCAAACTTTGATGGTATCCAAGCGATTGATCTCTGTAAGTGACATAAATATGTATGATAAGTTTAATGTTATCAATAAATTAAAAAAATTCAAATACCTTCTTGTGGAAGTTGCGCTGCAGCTTGTTTTTGTTCTGAGAAAAAAGTTGGTTTCCTGACATTGGGCAGAACAGATGTTTTTTTCCTTTTGTGGAACCGGTCATACAGCATCCCAGAGGGGTGCTTCTTGTTGGTAGAACTGTCACGTGGATTATAGTACGTTATCTGCAATGACAAAGAAGACATACTTTAACATAAAATCATGAAAACTTTTATTTCCCGTACGGTATTCTCGGCTGGAAATCGATCGGTTATCAATTCAGCAAATCGTGCCATATCCGGTAAAGAAAAGTATAGCTGATTTGCAATGTAGTAATCCACGATTGTGTGAGCCAGAAACTTTCGGTGAGTTTTATCTAGATGCTGGTGCAGCTGATGATACTTGGATACGATTTTCCCTTTCTCATTGCGCTCCAAAATTGTGTCCAATAGTGCCTTTGTTACCGTAGTTGGAATTAGTTTTCGATTAGTCGTTTCAGGTACACCTACTTGGCCATTACTCCTTTCAACTTCAACTGGCTCGATTTCCGCAACTGTCTTCTGGAAAAGCACACTTTCCTCCCAAAACAAAAGTTTTTGGCGAAGAGCGTATTTATGCCCTGTCCATTTCGCAACTGAGAAAACGTCATTTAACGCCTTCTCATCAAGTATCTTAAGATACTCTACTGTGTATCCATGAGCTGATATCAAGATGTCAGAAAATAGATATGATGAAAAAATAATTACACTACATACCGATCAAAATAGCATAAATAGCAGGATCCAGCCTCCAAAATTCAGTGATGAGTTGTCGAAGTCCGGGATTCTCGTCAGCTTCTACAAAAAAAAGAAGAAGAAAATAACAATATTCCGTAGGTTTTGGAGTTAACGGTTCTATTTACTTACCGTCAACGTATTCAGGATTGCACAACATATCGTCAACGATAATTTCTTCTTTAGAATCCATTAAATGTAATGTCCTTTAACAAAAATAATTTACACAACCGCGGAGAAAAAAACACGAGCGTCTCCCTAATAAAAAATAACCATAAACGAACGATAACCCAAATCATTGAACTATTCCACAAATGGTTTGGATGATACCCAGAACACGTCGTTAAGCAAATTAACCATACAATTTTTATTAGGGCTGTTCACGCCGAACAAGCTTGTTTATAAAATGGTGGTTTTAGCATGAGCAAACACTGAACGAAATTACTATGATCATGTTATTGTTTTTACTGCATAATCCCTTCAGTCGAATTTCGTTGGTAGGATGATGTTAATAATACCATGTTCGTGGTAAATTTGAGAACAACACTAGACTAACATTTGAAATGGGCGTAAGAGCCAAAATGTAAACAAACCATATTTTGCCACATATAGAGAGAATAGTTCACAAACTACTCGATAAACACGAAAATGTAGAAGAAAATATCACTTCAAATCATCAAAACCGTTTCTTCTTACATGGCGTATTTCCAACTTTCAACTCTATGATGCATCTGGTTGTTACGCCTTGCACCAGAACTACGAATTATATCGTTTTAATATGCCAAACGTATTGAGTCTGTAGTATCTAGTCACGCCCGATTCATTTGAAATGCATCCGATTGATAGTTCACGTGTAAACAACGAACAAAAAGAAGACCAAAAAATCTCCGGGCGTAATTCCACTCTCACAAAATTTGCGAACGAAGAACCAAGGCGGAACAACAAACAAAATATCCCGAGGGTGTACTTCCACGGCGTATCACCAGTGTTGGCAGTTCAAAGGGTGGATGATCCGGGTGGTAACAACATGTATGAAATTATCAGGGCGTATGATGTTTTCTTCTCGATTTCACGACAAAGAAAACTTTTTTTGAGTTTTTAGTGATGCATGATGATAGATTACACTATTAACTATATGTCAAGCTTATAAAATCATCCAGAAAATGGAAAGTCGTGAAATAGGATTAATTTTTAGGTCATCAAAATTCAGAAGCGATTTTCTCGATATGGTCATTTTGGAATTACGCCCTTTTCAAATGTTAGTCTAGAACAGTAATTAAAACCTACACAGTCTGCTAAAATAGAAAATTATCATTATTAATTTTACTATGTTAGGATACTACAAGAACATTATTTTTAAGCACAGATCATAGTCAAATTCACCATGGGTTTTTTTTCAGCGACATGTTAATTAGAACTATAATACAGTGATTATAATTGACAATGTAGTTATTTTGAGCGAAATTTAAAATAGTAAATTTAACCATCGTATTGTTGTCAATTTTGCAATGGTTTTAATTTCAGTGTACAATATTTTCTGCTGTGTAAATATTAATCGTATCATCGTATCTCAATTAGGCCTATTCTGCGCGGCGTGTGAGGTGACGTGACAGTGAAGTGATGGTGAAGTGACAATTGTCACCTCTGGTGAGGTGACTCTCCATTTGATTTGCACGAAGAGTCGCCTCACCCGCGGTGACAATTGTCACTTCACAAGTGGCAGCGTGTCACCTCACCTCACACGCCGCGCAGAATAGGCATAATGGCTAAGCAGCTACTTGCAAGTTATTTTAACTTGTACACAACATAACACTGTCACAGCCTACTGACAGTAGCTTCCACACAATTCTTGTTTTGTTTTGCTCAACCCCTTCGTTTTCAGTTGTTGACATTTTCTGAATCCTAAATGATAGGATAGGATTCATAATAAGATAACATAAAAAGTAGAAACACATACAAAAACTTTCTCAATGTGTTTATCGCAAATATTGCCCCAAAAATAAATCGTGCAAAGATAACAGGACAACCGCAAACCGAAAACTGAAGTAAGTGGCTCAGCGTACAGGAAATGTGGCATGTCGTGATTACTCGGTTCCTTCGTCGTAGGATTGTGCTGGCGGTCATCTTTTGCCTCTCGCTGACGTACTGTATGGTGCGATTGATCGGAAATGTAAGTATTGGTTTTCTTATTACTACACCTTTGAATCGGAAATTTGTTATTTAAGCAGAAGTAAGTACATTAACAGATGTAATTTACTGAGCGACTTACAGAAAGCTAATCAGTATGGAGGCCAATTTCAATCAATCTAAGTAGCTGACATATTGGAAACAATAGTTCCAATAACAGTATTAATGTCTTCTTCGTGTGTTGTAAAGAATCAATCTACACTGAATTTGGAATGTAAACAACAATTGGAAGCTTTGAATCCATAAACGATACATCATTGTCTGTAGATGTCTTCTTCTTCTTCTTCGCATTTCAAGCTTATTGCTTATGGCATATTAGCTTATTGCATGCTCTCAACTTAGTGTTCTAGATGCACTTCCACAGTTATTAATTGAGAGCTTTCGATGCCTGCCACCATTTTTGCATTTGTATAATTGTGTGGCAAGTACAATCATACTCTATGCCCAGGGAGTCGAGAAATTTTCCAACCCGAAAAATTCCTAGACCGGACCGGGAATCGAACCCAGTCACCTCCAGCATGGTCTTGCTTTGTAGCTGCGCCTTTACCGACTGAGCTAAGGGAGGCTGTAGATGTCCCGGAATCAAATTGAACCCGTGCGAACCCGCACTTTTTGTCAGTGCGGACCAAGTCCCGAACCAGGTTTCCAAAACCACAATCAAACTGACGTTTGGCACAAAAGCAAGCAGACCCTATCATGATACCCGATCCAGTCTAGAACTGAATCAAAAATAAATTATTATTTTTGCTCTAGCTTGCACAAATGTACTAGAAATAATAATCTATTCAGCGCTGTTATCGATAATGTTTGTGAACGGCTCTGAAACACATTTCACATATAAGGGAGAACAGCCCATAATGCACCCCTGGGGTAAAATGCCCACTTATAGAAAAACAGCGATAACTTTTCCTCAGATGCATTTTTCGGGTAACGGTTTGTGATTGTTTTCAACTGGAGGTTTAACAAATAATTCTTGATCATAAAATCATGTATTGACCTACTGATTCCTTAAAAAAATTGCATTTTGTGCAAAACAGGACACAGTTGTTTAAATCATCGACTGTAAATTAAGCTTTTATCATCATGTATCACAAAAAAAAAATTAAAAAATTTACGTTTCGTATATTTTTTAGATATTTTACTTGATGAATCACAGTTTAACATTCAATTGAGATTTTGAGACCTTATTTCTGATGTAACATAAAGAAATACTTTGACTATATGTTTTTAGTATTACTTCTACGTGAAGTCAACGATTTACATAGTTGAAGATGCTAATTTCAAATAACAGACTGTAGTGGTAATTTTTATACGATAGATGGAGTAGATGAAAGCATAGAGTTGATAGTTCCGTTAGAGTACGGCAGTGTGAAGATTGTATATAGATATTAGAATAGCGAACTAGGACAACTTTTAAGGAAGGTACAAATCGGTTTTTTCATCTCTCTTTACCAAACTCCCCCTTTGGAGAGGGATGGTGAGGGGTGTCCCCCCCCCCGCCACCACTACCACTACAGTCTGTTATTTGAAATTAGCATCTTCAACTATAAAGAAATAATCATTTGAAATACCGCATCTCTTTGCATTATCTACTTGCAGGGGTTATAGTTTGTTTACCATGGGGTGCATTTTACCCCAATGTTGTGGTGCGTTTTGGCCATTGTTGTCGTGCGTCTTGTCCCAATGTTGTGATGCATATTGCATCATGAATCAGGCGTTTTGCACCGCTATCATTTTGGAAGCTATTTAAAAAATACCTTGAAAGTCATGGAAATTCATCCTTTTGTAGTTCTAAATCACTCGATCTTTGTAGAAAACATGGTAATGAACCAAACGCCATTACTTTCTTCTTGATTTTAGCTTCCATTCGCCAGCCATTGACGATTTTGCTTAAAGGGTGCGTTTTGCACCATCCTACCCTAAATCATGTAGGGCGTAGCTACACACCAAATTTAAGTTTTCATTCAGGCCTATTCTGCGCGGCGTGTGAGATGAGGTGACACGCTCTCACTTGTGAAGTGAAAATTGACACCCGTAATAAGGCCCAAGGGTCCTCGGGTGAGGTGACTCTCCGTACAAATCAAATGGAGAGTCACCTTACCCGAGGTGACAATTGTCACTTCACCATCACTTCACCTCATACGCCGTGCAGAATAGCCCTGGACCCTTATTACCGATGTCACTTCACGGGGAAGTGACAACTTAGCACTCACGGTCAAGTGATTCCCATTTGATTTACACGGCAATCACTTCACCGCGAGTGACAACTGATCACTTTACTTCGTTTTCACCGTGAAGTGACACCCGTAATAAGGGCCCTGATTATCAGTAAAACGAATTGCTGGATCATGATCAGCAATCCAATGCTTTACTGAAAAACAGCAAACGATATTTTTAACATAAACTAACACCCAGTCAAACACAGTCGCAAGTATTTTTGAATTCGTATATAGCTTTCGAAATTACCCCGGGGTCTTGTTTTTATTTTTTTCAAAACATGGATCTTGAACTGATTTTATGAAATATGTCTACTCGGCACTCGGCGAAAGTAAAATTTATTTAAAATTTTCTTCAGATGTCAGGATATATTCTCTTGTTCCCTGTATTATCGATTTGATCGAAACGGATTTGCCATACAATTTTTGTTGTATGGAAAATCTGATTTGGGACTGTTTATTAGCTACGTTGACAGTTTTTTCGGACTTCCAGGTGTTTTATTAGCTGACACTCCAAGAATGTAATCAGCCAGCGAAATACGATGAACCTCTGACCGCTAAAGCTGGACTGACTCACTTCTAGTTTAAGTTGCAGCAGCATCATTCCGCCCCTAGACATGTTAACCTGAATTCCCAAATAAAAATCATTAAACATTCGAATAATCTTATTTATTATTTTTCACTAATTTTGTTTTTATCAAAATACTGAAAAACTCAGCAAAAAATGTAATAAATAAATACTGAAAAGACAGCAATTATTTTAATGACTAAAGGCCTGTATGGAGATCGAAGCGAAGTGAAAATCTCAAACAAAATATTACATTTTTCACTTCGTTTGGAACTGTAAACAGATACGATCCAGCGAAATCGAATTTTGTTGATCGCATATTTTTAGCTCCGTCGACCACTACCTTGTCATGGATCCCCGGGCGACATCCGGGGGAATTGTGAAGCATACAATCTTGCGGCTACGGGCCGATCTGGAAGGCTCGCTACTAAAACCGTTCCAGGATCTGATATCAAGACTTGGATGAAGTTCAAACTTCGGAATGCCTGGGCCAGCAAAAGGGAACCGTTCCTTCGTAAATCCTCCGTAAAATCAAAGGGGGAATCACCAAGTGACAAGATTCCCCAAACCGCCATGATCAACTGAATCTTTCTCGTCTCCACTCAGGACATACTCGGACGACCCACTATATGGGAAGTGCAACTTCGTTCCGAAAACACTGTGATATTTGCAACACAACGATGACGGTAGAGCACCTCTTAGTGAATTGCCCAGGTTTCCAGGGAATTATGGATCTTTATGGGATCCCGACGAACATTGGAAACGCCTTGGCCAATGACCTTTCAACCGAACCAACTGTTATATCTAGATAGAGCTGGAATTTTGTAAACAATGACTTCTTTTGATGATAAGACTTTCCCTATGCGATGGTTATGTTGGTCTGCGTGGGCGTGCCTTGAATTCCTAGAAATCATCGATAGAAGTTATTGTTTACAAAAGCTGTTACGCCCTAATTCCAGCTCCATCTAGATATGTTCCATCAAGGACGCCAACATGTAAAAGAACATCTGACCTAGCTCACTGACAAGAACCAACCATAACCGACCCACTGCATCGAACCAGGACCAACCTCTATAACAGACTCTGAATACACCACCATAACAATTAGTCGACCAAATGCACCAAACCAGGAACATCTACTAACTACGAAAGCACCTCGACAGCCAACTCTGATAACAAATACTATAAATACTAAATAGGTTTCTTCTGGACTGTCCACTCCTCTTAATTAGTGGGTTCCTTCTGGATACCCCACCTCATTAACTCTATAACTAGGGGGTCCTTTCTGGCTCCCCACCGCTATTTAAAACTCTGTCACTGGGGTCACTGGATTCCCCAATATTCGTCAAGAGATGAACCAACCTCTGGCTGAAAGGCTCGCTAATAAAGATAACCTAACCTCTTACCAACCACATCTACCACAGGAACCAGTTCCAACCCGAGCTTATTGTCAGTGCGAACCTCTACCCGAGCCAGGTTACAAAAACAAACGTTTACACTGACGTTTGACAGACAACAAGCCAATCCATGTTGAACCTGAATCAAAAACAAATTCGCTATTAGTTTCAATTGAGTAAGGTGGTGGCCAGGGCAGACGCGATTCGCGACCAATTCGAAGCATATTGTTTATTATTATTTCTTGCGTGAGTCGCGTATCGCGTCTACTCTGGCCGCCATTTAAAGGTGTAGCTACACCGGAACTGATACACCTTACACCAATATTATTCAGCGTGTAGATATCTGGCGCACGCTTGTTTACAATCAAACGATGTTGAGCTGTCAATTGGCAAATCAAAGTTGGCACTCGTGGAGAATAGAAGAACTATGAAAGTGATGATGGTTTCAAAATTTTCCACGGGTAAGTATACGAGTGCAATCTTAAAATGCTTTTATTTTGAAAATTGAGCATTTCAGGCATAACATTTGATAACGGCACAAAAGCATTTGTAAACAAACTTTCTAAGGCCCTTTACACGCGAACCAAAGTACGCCCACGCAAACCAACAACATCATCGGACAGGAGCAACTATCTTCTTTCCGAAAATGATATTGGTTTGCGTGAGTGTACGTTGGTTCGCGTGTAAAGGGCCTTAGAATGTTTGTTTACAAATGCTTTTGTGCCGTTATCAAATGTTATGCCTGATTTTATTTAAATCTGGTTGCTGTTACAGTGGTAGAAAAGCTGAAGTCTATGTTTAAACCTTAAAATCTGAAAAGAAATTTTGTTTTCTGTATTATATATGTCTATTGAGTAGTTCTTAAGTTTTCTACTAACGTAGCACTAAACAGATTTAAATAAAATGCTCCATTCACAAAATAAAAGCATTTAAAGATTGCACTCTTATACTTCCCCGTGAATTTTGAAACCATCATCGCTTTCATAGTTCTTCTATTCTCCACGAGTGCCAACTTTGATTTGCCAATAACTCGTGCTTATACCACCGACGAACCGACATGCCACTGAAGCATTTCGTTTGTCCGCAATTCGATTTGTCAAATAAGCGATTCGTTCTATCAAACGGGCGATCAGATCTGTCAAACGAGGTGAGTCTCAAACCAAGTCAATATAAATTTTACGTGTGTTCGTGTCCTTGCTCACGATATGACGCGATCGTATGAGTAGATGGCGGTAGTGTTTAGCGTATTTTAAATATGGCGACTTGGGTAAGATTTTGAATGTGGCTTCTATGAGCTGTCACGTCGGTTCGTCGGTACTTATACTACACCGATTCTACACCGCATAATCGAAAACGACATTGGTTACATTTCAAATTACGGCACCTACGGAAACCTAGGTTAACAAAATTTACAGTCAATGAGTTAAGTAACAATAAATTTCTTAATATTCCAGAACGTTTCCCTCAACTTGGACGGTGACCTGTTCCAAACGGGTCTACAGAGAGAGAAACCCATCATCTGGACGAACTCGATCACGGAGGATCGCAACAGGTCCAACGATCTATCCACAAACTGCAGGAATTCAGTACAGGGAAAAGCGCTCATAGTAGACGATCGGGGATACGTTTGTGCAAGGTTCGAGCTACTGTGGACGGGATGTTGCAATGTAGAGGTTGACAGTACTAAACTGTTCCACTGTGACACTTGCCAGAACAGTGACTGCTGTGCAATTTATGAATATTGCGTTTCGTGTTGTATGCACCCTGATAAGGTTTGTTTGCTGGACAAAGCTAAAATTTTATTAGTTGACAACATAAATGTTTTGCATTTACAGAAGCCGTTACTGGAAAAAGTTTTAGCAAAAGCCACCGGACGACAAATCGCTGTTTATGCCACGGTAAATGACCAGTACGAGCTCTGTCTAACGAAATGTCGGACCAATTCGCATTCAGTACAGAACGAGAATAAATACCGTGATCCAAAGTTGAAGCATTGTTACGGTGAAACCGAAGAACAGCTCACTGCACCGAATAGCAAAAACAGTGCCAGTGGCGCAGTAGATACTAGTGACAACAATAATCCCCTAATAAATAGTGTGTAGAGAACTGGAAGAATGCTGATAAAGTGAGAGAAGCTCGTGCATTGTGATAAGAAAAAACGACGAATGAATCTGTATTGTATGTTCAAATAATTTTGTATTTGTGTATTTGATTGAATGCAAAGCATCCGAAAATGAATCGAAACCTCGAAAGGCAGTTTGAACACTTCAAATACAGACTAACAAGCACACATAAATACCACCGCCTGGATCAGCGGTAAGTTTGTTCCGTCTCTTTGTTACTCTTGTACAGTTTCTTCGTGGTGCTGGTTTTTCTCGATACCGTATTTAAGCTTTGTGCCCTTGATATACGCCCATGCCATGCGCTTTGAGGTGAACGAAACTCCTACCTGCCCCTTTGAGTCAATCGTTATGGCACCGGCAGTTCCCGTCAGTCTATCAGTCATTGCTTTACAGGAATTTTCCGTTGCTGTTTGAGCATCCTCACCGAGAAATTCTATTCTCTTTAGAATATCATGAGCTAAGCAATATTTCATTATGGTTTCACCGTGACCTGTGGTGGAAACACCTCCGACGCTATTGTCTGAATATGTACCCGCTCCAACCAGAGGCGTATCACCAACTCTACCCGGAAGCTTTCCCGTGATACCCCCCGTGGAAGTCGCTACTGCTATATTCCCACTGCTATCGATGGCAACGGCTCCCACTGTTCCAACTTCTGATTTGTTGTACTTATTGGCAGACCCGATTTCTGTTCGAGCAAATTGTATTTCACCTCTGTGTTGACCTTCTTTCCATTCTTCCAGAGCCTCTCGTGCATAATCGGTTACCAACTGTCCCGGAGGCTTCATAATCTCAAATCCCTGCAATTAACGATTTTTATATTGATTCACGAACATTGCAATACGAAACTTGATACCTCATCAGCAGCAAACTCCATCACACCATCCCCCGCAAGAAAATTATGCGGAGTCTTCATCATCCGTCTCGCCAAACTAATCGGGTGCATGATATCCTTGACCAACGAACAACACCCGGCCCGTAACGTTGCTCCATTCATGATGCTGGCTTCCATCTCGACGTTCCCCGCCGTAGTCAGAACTGATCCATATCCAGCATTAAAATACGGATCCAGCTCCATACTTCGGACGGCTTCCTCGACAGCATCCATAACGCAACTGGTTTCCTTGAGCTTGGCAAAACCCACTTTAGCTGCCAATTTCACTCCCACAAGTTTTCCTTCTACCCGTTCGACAGGAATGTCGCCGGCACCACCGTGAACCAACACTACCGGCTCTATTGCGGACATAGTATTTCAAATCTGTAAACTCACGTCTCGACTCTCCAGTGTCTTGTATCTCAATGCTGGAGGAATGCAGATTCACAACCACCATTCATTCATATATGTATACAGACGAGACGATGCACTGAAATCTTCAACGAAGGCTCGTGATTGGTTGCTGATAATGCTTTGCTTCAGTAAGAAGTTCATTTGAAGTTCATTTCAATTCTGATTCCATATAATTGCATACAAATAAAATTGCGTTCAACAATTAATTGCACGCAATGTGGGAAAACATAAAATTGCTTTCAAGCATAAATGTATCTAAATTAACGAACATTATTTTGATCCGTTCATCATACCTATAAAATAAAAGAAAACCAAGGGCCATAAATCGAAATAACTTTTCATACTAGCGGTTATATGACGCGGTTTCGACTTCCAGATTGAGACCCGTAGTCTAGTCAGTTGTTTTACCACTTCGCATATATATGGACCAGAATAAAAACAGAAGTCATATAATATTTAACCCGGATACGGTCACACAAAATTTAAATCGCTGAAAATCAGCAAAATTTTGCTGATTTTGAACTTGATGAAATATCAGCAAAATAAAGATGCTGTAACTTTCAGCAATTCAAACTTCTGTCAAAATAAAATCATTGTATGTACTGATTCTTCATTAAATCTGTTATTTTTTGCTGAAGCTGAAGTAAATGTTTTTTGACAGCACTTTGCTGGTTATCCAGCAATATTTTTGTTTTCCACTTTTGCTGAATTATCAATAATATATTATCCATTTGTTTTTGTTTTGATAAGTTGGGTAAATTAATGCAATTCCTACACTGTATTCAATGCATGATTTCTTTGAAGAATAATTTATTTTTTTTTAAATCACAGCATACAGTTGATTTAGTAACATCGTTTCACTGCACACCATGATCCCATTTATTATTGAGGTATTCAGGGTGAACATCTAGCAGCCAGTGTTTGCTAAAATTAAATGGAAAATGTTGCTTAATTGATAAAATGATAAATTTGATTAACTTACTTTATGATTTCTGGTCAATTCGACTAGGATGACACGATGAATTAAATAAAAACAACACTTCCATTCAAGAACATTAAACGCGGGAGTGTGATTCTCAAAAACGTCAAAAACAGATAACTGTTTTTACAGATCATAGCTAAGTAATAGCTAAGCATCCAGCAACACTTACTGGATTGCTGTATTATTCAGTAGGGTAGGATGGTGCAAAACGCACCGTTTAAGCAAAATCGTCAATTGCTGGTATATGGAAGGTAAAATCAAGAAGAAAGTAATGGTGTATGGTTCATTAGCATGTCCCTAATAAAAAATAACCATAAACGAACGATAATCCAAATGAGTCGAGTTTCTAACGCCTTTGGATACGGTTGTGTGTTAAGTTCGTTCTCTGTTTTGTGCGTGCATTCGCTTTCATAGTTTTCGGCTGCATTTGCCGGATTAGCGCTGGCACTCTGCCTCCCGGACGGTTATACGTGTGTGAGTGTTGGTTTCTCGCTTTCCGGGAAGTTTTAGAATCGAGAAAGAAAAGATGATTCATCATGTTTGCAAAATTGGCGTGGTTTGATTGTTTCTCCCGGACCAGAAATTTGTGGCATCGCGAGTGAAAATTTTAATTTCTGTTTATTTACGCGGTGATGAGAAGTGAGCTGATCTATTGGAAGGGTTTTGAGATGTGCATTGCTTTTGTGCACGGAGTGACTTGAAAAAGAAAAGTGAAGAAAAGTGATATTTGGTTGTTGTGTGGTTGGAGTGGAGGGAAAAAAAATATGCGTGGAAGCATCGGGAATGCGCTCCCGGGTGAAGTGATTTGGTGAGTACGTTCCAGTTGAAGATTGTTGACAAGTGTATTTGTGGTGATGCAAATTATGGTTTAGATGACGCATGGCTTCAAACATTTTGTGTATCCAAATAAAACATATTACATACTAAATACGCACAGGGCATCGTCTGCTGACCATTGCCGCGGGTATATCGTGGGAGTCCCAGGTACCCGGTTCAAGCTTTAGTTGGCGGCGGTGGCTCTTCTTGACCTTCTACCCCCTGAGTAGTTAGTGTGAATAAGGGCGTCTATGTGATGTTTTGCTGTACCTGTTGTGGACATCTAGTGCATCCTGTTCCCTTAACTTGTTGAGGACACCCTGTCTTGCCTCAAAAGTTACCCTTTTTGAAGTACTAGTCTTCACAACATAAAGGGCACCATTACGAAGCATGAGATTTGATCAAATTATTCGCAGTTCTACTTGTCCAACGCCCCCGGCTGGGTGAGGGATAGAGGATGACACACACACACACACATAAACGAACGATAATCCAAATCATAGAACTATTCCATTAATGGTTTGGATGATACCCAGAACACGTCGCAAATTAACCATATAATTTTTATTAGGGGTTTTCTACGAAGATCGTAAAATGCACCGCATGATAAACAAACCATAACCCCTGCAAGTGGATAATGCAAAGGGATGAGGTATTCCAAACGATTATTCCTTTATGTTACACCAGAAATAAGGGCTCAATAGAGTGTTTAACTGTGATTCATAAAATAAAACTTTTAAAAAATATACGAAAAGTGAATTCATTCATTTTTTTTTTTGCGATGTATGCTGTTAAAAGCTTAATTTGCAGTCGATGATTTTAACAACTGTGTCATATTTTGCACACAATGATATATTTTAAAGTAGGTCAATATATGATTTTATGATCAAGAATTATTTGTGAAACCTCCAGTTGAAAACAAACACAATCCATTAGCCGGAAAATGCATCTGAGGAAAAGTTATCGCTGTTTTTCTATAAGTGGGCATTTTACCCCAGGGGTGCATTATGGGCTGTTCTCCATTAGATGGTACCTAAGTATGCAATTAGGTAGACATTCAGTGGCTTGATTTTCAACGCTTGTTGTATAGAGACTTGTCCGTCTGATTGCAAAACAGTGAACTACAAAGTTTAAGGAAATTAATTGGGCGTTTCTTTAAAAATATTGTCAAGATTGGACACTCACGAATAACATCTCAAAAGGGTGAAAAATGCTCAAATTATGCGATAAATGAATTTTAACCTACGAGTATCTTGAAAATATCAACTTTGGGCAATTTAAGCCCTAAGAGATTTTTTGTTGTAAATTTATTGTGTGTTTAATAATAACACCATTTCAAATATATTCGATAACTGTAGATAGTATTTTGTAAAATAGCACTTTTTAAATCATTCATAACTTTCTTGTTTGTTTTTGAACTGCCCAGCACATTGTAAGTAGGTATCACTTAATCTAAACTGCAATGTAAATATTGATAAATAATTAAAAAAAAAAATGCAATTTGAGTTATTTAGTATAATTTTTTTTGTAGATAATAAAATATTTTTTTACATTGCATACTTTTTCTTGAAAGGCACAATACTTGTCCTCAACTTCGCCCAGGAAACCATCTCGATCAAACAAATCGTTCGCGAGATACATGTTTTTGACGTAGGATTACGTCTTTCGGCAACATATTTGGGGTGCAATTTCAAAAAAACCAAAATCGACCGCGGGACGAAAATAGGTCAGGTTTTGACCACATATACCTCTTCAATAGCAGATGAATTTTAATTCTAAACAAGCCAAAAAATTGGGAATTTATCTACCAATCTGCTAAATTGAACACTTTATTAATTTTCAATAGGTCACTATTGAAAAATACACAAATGTCCAACTGTTGCAATGGTGATCAAAATTATCACCGATTACCTGCAAACAGCGCATTCCCTAACACAGATTTAAAAATCGAATTCCATCCTGTCTCACTGAACGGTGCTCATTCAATCACCGTGTGTGGTGGTGTCCGGTCGTGAACGTCAGCAGCAGCAGCATCAGCAACAGCATTGCTTTCAGCGTGTGGCGTTTACATTGTTCTCCAGTACACCACGGGATGCTCTGCCTGTGAGCTGCAGAGCCCACATGAGCACCCATAGAAGGAGGAAGAAGCCGCTGGATCGAAATCAGTTTCCTCGTGAGTAGCTGTGGGTCATCTATGCCAAGCGTGTCAACCTTGCTCTAAACAATTAACAGCTCCCCAGCCTCACCCTAATAGCTCAGCATTACTCAACCTTCACGACTAAACGGTCCTTTTCAGAACCACCACAAATTTGTTAAAGAGTATGTTTTGGACATTTGTAAAGGTCATCAATCGGATGTCAGTTCCCGCAAGCAGCTAATTATCAAAGCTCAACCTGGTCTTAGAAGGTGTGGAATTGTAGGCCTGAATGTATTGGTGCAATTCGTTTTCACTCGATGTTCATTCCGCTTCGCACGATTAGTTTCATTCGTTTACTCAATCAGCCTTGTAGTGACGTCAAAAAGTTTGTTTCGATCGACGCTTACATAGGAAATTTATTTTGAATTATTGAATTTCTTGTATGTTACCGAAATTTATGAATGGTTAGTGGCAGATGTTGAGATAATTAATTGAGATTAATTGATTGCTTAATTATCACACTGTATACCATGAAAAGAAGCCTGTTTGTGAGTTTTTGCCTGTTTTTTAGTAAGGAGATATCATAAAAAAAAACAAATCACCAGCTGGTATTTCCCGGCGGCTTTACAAAATAATACAATCAAACAAAATCATCATGCAGAGCTAGCTAGGATTTGTTTTACTTTCACAAATCAAGCTGAACATTGCATTAGGTCCTAAGTAACATTGATCGATTCTCTTCGTCGACTTTCTCTTTCTCTTTAATAACTTTAGCATAGAACCGTTTCTTGATGTGTTTGTCGTATAAGATGCTAGATAAAAGCTTCTTTTATCGATCTGTGTGCTGAAAATACCTGGGTATATCTTTACATGGCCGTGGGGATACAAAGAGAAAGTGGACGAAGAGAATCTGTCAATGTTACTTAGGACCTACTTGAAATTACATACGTCAGGGCTAGATAGATCTCCACAGGATTTACAAAATAAAAAATCAAAATCGACCGCATTTCGAAAATTCAGTCATAACATTTGATAACGGCACAAAAGCATTTGTAAACAAACTTTCTAAGGCCCTTTACACGCGA